TAACTCATTTCAGCTGGTAAGAATACAATTGATTGAGTTATTCTATTGATACTTCTTCCTGGACTTGGTAATCCATGAACTTCTGCATAATTTTCTAGAAAATTCTTTACTATTTCAGCAACATCTTTGTCAATCACCATTTTAGTTTTCCATTGAGGCATCCTTTTAATATTACCATGAATTCTTGGCAGAAGGCCATTATTTATCAGATGATTTCTGATATTTTCAAAATAAGACCTGCCAATTCCTAACATATTGAGATAAGTTTCTTGACAAAGAGGTGTATTGTGATCTCAGTGATAGAAAGTCTTTTTGTTAGATCTGGACCTCTTTTTAAGACGTCTGCTAGTGCTTGTTAATCCACCATCCATTGCCTTAAGTTGAGCCATTAAAAATATGTCTTGTTCTACTTTAGAAAGAGCTTGAAAAGATTCTCTTAGTTCAGCAAATTCCTCCTTAGGAATTCTTGAAGAACAACTACATTTACATCCTTTTTCTAAAAAATCAATTGCTTTTTGGTATTCATTAGAACCATTATATTTATTATTACTTTTCATATACACTTATCCCTATATATATAATTTTATAATTTTATGTTCACTTTGTAGATTTAATAATTACCTATTTGTTAAGGAACCAGTTATAAAATTGGCTGTGAATTTTCCTTGATTGATTATTTGATATGGTCAAGTTATTAATAACAGAATTGTTCTTTCAGATGGCATAAAACCAGACAAAATGAACATAGTAAATAATCAAATGTAGTGTTAATTTTTTTATTTTATTTTTATTTTTTTTTTGTAAATTACATTATATATGCTACACACTTTTTAACAAGCCTTTTATTCAATAATAATAATTATCTTTTAACTTGATTATGTAGGTTTAGAAAGAAAAACATGGTCTAAAATAGATTCCAATGAATTATTTTTGTAACAATCTTTCAATTTATTGTAAAAGTCAACAGCATTTCCATTAGACCGCCACAAGTCATCCATTTCATCCATCATTTTTATTATCATGTAAATATCTGTAGCTGGTGTGCAGGAATCAGCATCCTTAGGATCATAGAATTTCAATTGGTCTTTATGTATACTCTTACCATGCTCTTGAGCAAACTCACCAGCATCAATAATGTGGAAACTGCCTCCTTCTTCAATAATGTTAGGCCAACGCAAATCAATTATGCTCCAACCACATTTATGGACCTTGGAAACACAATTTACAACACAAAACATAGCAATACATAAATCATCAATTGTGCTCACTGAATTTGCAATTCCCACAGGTGTGATTTCAAGCTTAAGCTCTCCAGGTTTTGTAGTGTCATCTCGTGCATAGACTACCTCCAAAAATAGAATGTTTAGTGTTGCTTTATAAAAATTAATAATTCTAAGTAACATAAATGCAAATGTAGCAATAATGTTGTAATAAGTAAAGCAAAAAAGTCAACATGAGGCAATTGCAATATATCCATACAAAAAAGACCAACATACCTATTCTTTTCATGTAAAGGTATACCAGTATATATTTTGATTACATTGGAATGAAAGATAGTTAATTTATGACCCCAAGTACTGCCTGCAGTCTTGCGAATATTACATACTCCAATTGGATAGTGAGGAGGTGGTCCAACCTGTGTTACAGCCCACTTGCAGTAACGAGCTATATTAACACAAGCTTGTATGCAACTACATATATGTATTAATTTGTAGTAAAAACAATATGAATATATGGAACATGCAATATTTAAAATCAAACAAAGCAAGTAGACTCACCATATAGCATTCCTTTTGTCACCAATGTTCATTCGATGATGTTCATTTAATTGTTTAGCACGATTTAGTGTGTTTAATGAAATAATATCTTGTGCCACTGCAATTCCAATTATAAATGACAATTTTCGATAATGTGGAGCCCATGCAAATTTCTCCTTAATTTTTGTCCTGGCTATCTCAATATCTGATTTATCAGCCTTCTCTTCTATCAATACTATAGGGATGTTATTGATGTGTGCATCAACACGTTTACGTTTCAGTGTGCTATTACTAGTAATATTTCTGTTTGATTCTGTGTCAGAAAGTAAAGTAATTATTCCAATAATTCCTCCATCACGTCCATGGAGACCATCTTCAGATCCCATCTCTTTATCATTTCTTAATATCTTCAATGCTTGATGTTGGATATCATCATTAATAAATGTTATACCAGGTTTTATAACAGAATTCTCAGATTTTTTGATCTCCTCAAAATGATCTGCTGGAAGAACATGTTTCAATGAAGTTTCAAGTATATAGATTGGTTGATCCAGTGGCAGCAAAAACGCAAAGTCATCACTACTGATTGATTCCACTTCATATAATTTATCATGTAAACCGACTTTCATTTTGATACAGATAAATAAAATAAATAAGTAAACGAAATGGAATGAACGAAAAATTATTTTTTTTTTTTACGAGATTTGTTCGTTACCTTCTCCTCTACCGAAATTCACTAATGCATTCTGCAATGTCATCACCTGCTTCCACTTATCATCTTTATCCTTCTCCAATCTCTTCTTTTCTTCCTTCAACTCGTTCCTCTGCATTTCCCAACTCTTCTTCTGGTTTTCGTTCCTCCATTCTTCTTTATACAACTTATCCTCCAACTCGTCTAACCTCTCCTGTTTTTTCCCCTCTTCCCACTTCTCTAACTTCTCCATTGCCTTCTCATAATTACCTCTCGTTTTGTTTAATTCGTTTAGTATTTCTTTGAGTGTTGCCATTGTAAAATTTAAAAATTAATTATTTTTAAAAAAAAATTTTTTTTTATTGATTTAGATTGTAATTAGTTATTAGCGCAAGAAAGAAATTAGTTGGCATTGGTACTATGCTTCGTTATCCTTTTTTGTTTAGAGAGTTTTAGAAGCGA